TACCCCAGTTCTGTATGAATAAATAAATAAACCTTAAAAAAGTACTAATCCATTATCTTTTAGTTTTTATACTGTCATATTTCATTTTTATATTTTTGCTGACATGATGACATGTACAAAGTTTAATGAGAGAGAACATTCACACCCTTCTTTCTAACCATTATTATTATTTGTTTCATTTAGAGATTATTGCTGAAAGCATAATAATTTTGTGTGTACAGGAGGAGGCATCAAAAAAAATGCACACTCTCTGTTGCCACCCATCAACAACTAACTACAAGGAAAACCTGAAATTCTTCCAGTGAGGCCCCAAGGGCGCCCCGAGAAGCCCTCGGGGAACGTGTGGGGTGAGCGGCCCTGGCCCACATCCCTCCTTTGGTCTCCAGGTGTGGTTGGCCCTGCCCACAGAGAAAAGGCAGATGCTCAAGTTGACCACGGAGAGGCAGGACATGGCGGGACTCCCAGGCCCGGGCCTGCCCATAACAAAGGTCACGGCCAGCCAGGGGCAGGTCCCACCCGGGAGAGCCCTCGAGGCCTCTCCTCATCGCTGTCATTCCACCGCCCCAGCTCTGGCAGTTGGCACGGCCGCTCAACGTGAGGAGGGGACCCAGGGAGCCGGGGCTGGACGTCCCCAGCTGAGGTCCAGAGAACGGTAGGATTTGTCCAAAATTGCCTAAGAGGGTGAGCTGCAAGGAGCCCAGTGTGCTTCCAGTGGCTACAGAGTGACCTCCGATCAGGCCTCCATGCGGGGCGAGGGGCCCTGCGGAAGAGGGGAAGATAAGAGGAGCAGCGCCCAGACCTGAGCTGGAGCTTGTGAAAGGGGCTGTTTCAAGAGCAACTGCCAGCCTGGCCCTGGTGCGGGAGGAGGGGGCGCAGGAGGGTGGGGGCAGAGATGAGGGAGGCGCAGGGGTGAGAGGTGCAGACCAGGCACAAGGTCTGCTGGGGGAGGGCATGCCTGCACACGCCCACTGGACGAGGGGGTGAGGCCAGGCAGGCGGCAAGTTGTGGCAGGGGAGATTCTGGGACTGTGCACGGAGGGAGGAGCAGACCAGGCGCGGCTGGAAGCGAGGAGAGCATGGCTCATGCGGTGGAGGGAGCTGAGGGGTGCTCTACCCCTACGCGTGGGGATGGGGGCGTCCTCGAGGCTGCACAGGTGGCGGCAGTCAGGCTCAAGGGCGGACCGGCCTGAGCCCACTGGACTCTCTAAGGAAGCTCCTGTGACCACCCAACAGGATGTCAGAATTGACGCCAGGAACTCAGATAGCCAGGTGCGCAGACACATGGGGAGGCACTGAGCCCAGGGCAGGGCCCGCCGCTGCTCTGCGGCTGCTTCACCCGTGACATGTCACTGTGTTCCCCAAGTGGCTCCATGAGGTCGCCCCATCATCTTCACTTCCAGGCCCAGACTCAGGCATCTCCTGGAGATGATTCCTGGAGAGCTGATAGGGTCAAGGAGTACGGGGAGGGGCCAAGTCAGAGCGCCTAGGCCGGGCATTCATGCAACAGGCATGCTGAGCACCTGCCGCATGCCTGGCCTGGCGCTGGGGCATGAAGGGAAACTACCGTAAGTAAGGCGGACCCCAGCTCTGCCCTGTTGGCAGAGGAGAGCAGCCTTTCCCTTCATCTGGCCCAAGTCCCATCTTGGGGATGTGGGAACTGAGGCCAAGAGAGAAGTGACTTGACCAAGGCCATACGGCTAGTTAGGTCCAGGCCCGTCCTCTTCTCAGGCACACGGCCTCTCGGCCCCCCAGACATGGGCAAAGCCTGTGCTCTAGGCACTGCCCTGTCCTGGGAACACATCGGTGAACTCAGAGCAGCCAGGGAAGTTAGGGCCGCATGTGTGAGCAGGAAGGGAGCACCCCTGCAGGCTGGCGAGGGGAATGTGGGGTGTGGGGTGTCCGTCTCCCAACTGCCCTGAACACAAAAGAGAAGTTCCAGAGCTCCGCCCCATGAGGCTGGGCTTCTGGGGTCCACCCCGTGTGGACTATAAAGGCGCCTTCCCCGCTATTTCCAGAGAAGAGCAGGAGGTGGGCGGTCAGCGGGGCCTCCTGGGGCGACAGGGAGCAGGTGGCCACCGTGTGCTGGCAGCTGGTGCGAACAGAGTGACCCGCTGCGGCTGGGGACCCCACGGCAGAGATGGCGCTGGTGCTGGCACTGGCCGGGCTCGCGGCCTCACTCCTGGCCCAGCCGTGTGAGGGATCCGCCCCAGGTAATAATAACAGTCCCTCAGACAGCCAAGCCGGGGAGTAGCTGGATCTGGGGTCCCCTACAGCTCCCCGGACCCTGAGCGCCCTTTCCTCTGAACAGCCGCCTCCCAGGCAGTAGAGACCACAGTCCTTCGGGACTGCATAGCAGAGGCCAAGCTGCTGGTGGACACGGCCTATAATCACACTCAGAGGAGGTAGGTCTGGGTCTGGGCCCTGGGGGACGGGGAGGGGGCCGCCGAGGAGGACGGGCTCTGGTCAAGGTCACCTCACCCTGGCCCTGGCATCGTGGAGCAGTGCCCTGTGGAAGAGGGCCTGCCGTCCTGGTCTGCTGGCCTGACTGTCCGCCTTCCAGGCTGGGGCTCTCTGCTGGGCCGAGCTCCTCCTTTCTCCAACTGCCACCCCTTCTCTGGCAGCATCAAGCAGCGCCTGCGCAGTGGCTCCGCCAGCCCCATGGATCTCCTGTCCTACTTCAAGCAACCAGTAGCAGCCACCAGGACAGTCGTTCAGGCTGCCGACTACATGCATGTGACCTTGGGGTTGCTGGAGGAGAGATTACAACTCCAGGGATCCAGGACCGTCAACGTTACTGGTACGGCGCTCGCCACTGAGCCTTGGGGAGAGGGTGAAGGGATACGGTATGAAACAGAGGAGCTCAGGGAAGAGCTGGGCCCCTCCACTCAGGCTCCTGCCCCCTGTCCCGCCCCAGATGTGCTAACAGCACCCCAGCTGCAGCTGCTGTCCCAGGCCAGTGGCTGCGCTCTGCAGGACCAGGCCGAGAGGTGCAGCAACAAGTATCGCACCATCACCGGGAGGTGCAACAACAAGTGGGTGCAGGGTGCAGGGGCCGCGCCTGCCTGGGGGTGGCCGTCCCTCACCCACCCTCCTCCTCACACGGGGGCCTCTGGGTCTGAACCCTGCTGACTCTGCCCTCCCCCTGGCGCAGGAGGAGACCCTTGCTGGGGGCCTCCAACCAGGCCCTGGCCCGCTGGCTGCCAGCCGAGTATGAGGACAGGTTGTCGCTCCCCTTCGGCTGGACACCAGGCAGGAGGCGCAACGGCTTCCTCCTCCCTCTCGTGAGTGGCCTTGGGGTCTCTGGAGGAAGCGCACCTCTCTCCAGCGAAGGGGATAAAAGTGTAGCTGCAAGTCAGGCGGGCTCAATCCAGGCTTGAATCCACTAGCTGGGTGACTCCCGTCACGCGACAGAGCTGAGTTTCTGTTTTCCGTGTGTAAAATGCAGTTAAATCTCCCTCTAGAGCAGACGTGGAAATTAAAGACAGTGCTTAGACAGACAGCCAAGAGGGGGTCTACTAATGTCTTTTTCTGAAAGAGTTTGTGTCAAAATATCTTGCTGAAGAGTTATTATATATTTTATATCTCTTGATCTAAACTGTTTTAATCTATCAATTTTCTATTCAGCAATGCAAATACCATAATGTCATACCATACATATGACAATCTGTCCTCTTTCAGCATCTACTTTTTCATTTTTTCCCATGTATCCTTCCACCGATCTCTTCAAGGCTGCGTTTATTACCCATCACCTAGCAACCAGTCCACGAAGCTATCATCAGTTCTATCTTCTAATGATTGATTTGTTTACAAATTAATCTATCCCTTTGATTTGTTTATCTCTTTGGACAAGCTGGTGAGGTCTGAGTCAACCCCCGGGGCCTCCATCCTTCTCTTTACTCCTGGAATCCTCAGAGCCAAATCAGAGGTCGCCCTCCTAGAAATGACAGTCACACAGGACATGGGGCAAAGTAGGGATGGAGAAGGGAGGGCGGGAGAAGAGAACTCCAGCAGGGGTGACCTGGTGACCCCCAGTCCAGGGCCAACCCAGACACCTTGCAGCATCCAAGAGCCCACGTCCCACACTCACCGGTCTCCCCACAGGTCCGGGCTGTCTCCAACCAGATCGTGCGCTTCCCCAGAGAGAGGCTGGCCTCCGACCGCGGCCGGGCCCTCATGTTCATGCAGTGGGGCCAGTTCATCGACCATGACTTGGACTTCGTGCCCGAGTCCCCAGCCAAAGTGGCCTTCACTGCTGGCGTTGACTGCGAGAGGACCTGTGCTCAGCTGCCCCCCTGCTTCCCCATCAAGGTACCCTGAGCCAGCCTCTGGAGCCTCACCCTGGCTGAGATACAGGGGACAGGGACCCAGCAGCCTAGGGCACCCACATAGGAGCTGTCTGTGAAGCTGGAGTGTCAGTCAAAGGCAGGATGTACGGCCCGGCATACACTCCCCTGCAGCGCATGCTGAGGGGTGTGGGTGGGAGCCAAGAGCTGCAGCACCGGCCTCCCGGAGCAGGAAGCCGTTGACACTAGCCTTGACCTGTGGTCTTGACTCCACAGGGGAAGCCTCTGGCCCTCTGCTCTGGGAAAACTTCAGGTCTCTTAGCTCTGGCCCTTCTCTCTTTCCTGGGGTGGCCCAAGGGCCTGCCGCCCTCAGCCGTTCCTGCCTGGTGTGTGACAGTGTGCGCTTGCTCAGGCTGAAGCAAGGATGGTGTGGGACACTGTGGAAGAAAAGAGCAAGTGCAGGGAGCCTCTGCTGGGGAGATGGGGAGATGGGAGACCGTGTCCACCGCACACATCCACGAACCCTGAGCAGGCAGGGCCGCCTTCCTGCCGCTGGCGAACTGACCCTCTCGGAAGCCAGTCCCACATCACCCAGCACCTTTCACGTCTGGCTTTTAGAGAGGGATAGCAAGTGGCAGCTCCGCTTAGACAGCACCGTGGGGCCGCACTTCCCGGAACTGCAGTTTGTATTTGCACTTTGTACTGGCTTTTGTTTACCAGCAGCCTCCAGTGAAATTATCGGAGCACAAGGCCTTGGCTCTAACCTCTCCTCTCACCTAAGTGAGTCTTTTCTCCCGCTCTGGGAGCCTCAGCTTTGTCATCTGTAAAACGAGGCTCTGGGACCGCATCTGTTTCCAGTCTTTCGTGAGTCTTTGACATAAAGTGCTAAGGACACGCAGACTGGTCAGGAACCAAGAAGGAGGGACTTTCGCGCCCGGCTTTGGAGTGGCCAGGGCTGGCCAAGAGGAACGAGCTTGCCCGCGAGGGCCCCAGCGTCACCGGTTCCCCTTCTCTCTCAGATCCCGCCCAATGACCCCCGCATCAAGAACCAGCGCGACTGCATCCCGTTCTTCCGATCCGCACCCTCGTGCCCACAAAACAGAAACAAAGTCCGCAACCAGATCAATGCGCTCACCTCCTTCGTGGACGCCAGCATGGTGTACGGCAGCGAGGTCTCCCTGGGCCTGCGGCTGCGCAACCAGACCAACCATCTGGGGCTGCTGGCCGTCAACCAGCGCTTCAGGGACAACGGCCGCGCCCTGCTGCCCTTCGACACCCTGCACGAGGACCCCTGCCTCCTCACCAACCCCTCTGCGCGTATCCCCTGCTTCCTGGCAGGTCAGCCTGGGAGGTGGGGTCTTCCCGGCTTGTGGCCGGCCAGTCGCTGGGAGGTGGGAGGGGAGCCATGTGGGGCAGGGGGGTTCCTGGCCCTCAGTGCTCCCCTTGCTTGGCATAGACTTGGGAATAGGAAAGTCGGGAGGAGGTCCTTTACCGATGCCCTGTGTGTGACCAGCTGTTGTCCACCCCTCCCTTCCAGTGAGCAGGGATTCAGCGCCCTGCTGTGCTCCTGTCCATCCCCAGCAGGGCCTGCAGACCCTAGGAAGTGTTTCGTCTTCATCCACTGTCTGCCCATTGCTCTTGGTCGCCCAGATGGCACCTCAGAGAAGCTGTCTCTCTTTCACACTGTCATGCTTCTTAATGACCTGAGTACAGCTTTTACTTCCACCGACTTCCCCCCTTCTCTGGATTATATGGGGTTTTAAATTCCCATCCCTGCCCCCCACTGTTGCTAGACACTGACTGGTCCCTTCTTCTGAATGTGTAATTTGAACTGTCCTTGGGGGTCTTTGTCTAGTGGTGAGGATCATCATTTCTGGTTATTTCAGATGCTCAAAGGTGCATCTCTAGTCCTTAGAGCAGGTCTGAAAGGAGGGAGTTATTGTCACCCCCATTTCACACATGAGGCTCTGAGCTTCAGGGGAGATAACTGATGAGCTCCAGGGTGCAGAGCTGCAGGTGGCAGAGTCATGGCTGAGACTCACACCGACGTCTGTGTCGTCCCTCTCCACGCCACTGTCTTGGCAGGGACTCAGCCCCTGTCCCTTGGTCTAAGGATCATGTGTTTGTTTATGCTGGGCAAGAGCGCACACACATTCTCGTGCGGTCTACTTTTGAGTGATTTAAATAAGACCTTGTCAACAAGGGTGTCTTTCAAAGCCCGTAAATGATTGTGGGTAAGGTCCACCTTGAGGGAGAAGGCCTGGCTGCATGAGCAGGCTGGGGAAAGCTGGGGAAAGGTCCAGCCCTCCACAGAGAATACACACATGGGTGAAGTTCACAGACAGGTAGACTCACCACCAAATCAATCCAGCCTCTCAATCAGCTGCAGACCTCGTCATCAGGTAGAGTAGAATAATTAGGCAAAGACTTTCCCGCTCTAGACTCTGCATTTTCCCATCAAGCCCAAACCTGTTCCAGTCATTTAAAGCCCCGTGGCCCTGCTGTGTTGGGGTGGGGTGTGGCCATCGGTGGCGTGCACAGCCCAGCTGAGGAGGTGGAGGCCCAGGGAGAGGAAGGTCCCAATCACAAAGTCCCACCACTTTTCTCTATTCCTCAGTGCTCTGGTTGCCCCAGCAGAGAGACATCTCTCTGGGGAGCCTGTAGTGACTCCAACTTGGGGTTTTCAAGGTGACTTCCGATCGAGTGAAACTCCCAAACTGGCTGCCATGCATACCCTCTTTGTACGAGAGCACAACCGGCTGGCTGCTGAGCTGAAACGCCTGAATCCCCGGTGGAGCGGAAACAAGCTGTACCAGGAGGCTCGGAAGATCGTGGGGGCCATGGTCCAGGTGAGGAGCTGTGGGTCCCCGCATCCCCTGGTAGACGATCTGAAGAATGAGATGATCTGGCATGAGGAGCAATCTGAGGGTGTGGCTCCCACCTTCCTTACATCCTAAGACAGCTAGTGGCTGGGGAGGATAACTGACTTATACCCCAATTCTGCCACCATCTGTGTGACTGTCCACATCATTCTGCTCCTTTGAACTTCAGTATCTCCATCGATCATTGGGAAATTAATGTTGCCACATTTGACATGATGACAGAAAAGACTGTCTGTTGGCCCTTAGATAAGGGAGAGTGTTCAAAGGCAGGGGACGGGGTGGGTGACTACCCAGCCAGTAATGTTCCTTTCATGTCTCCTCTTCCAGATCATCACCTACCGAGACTTTCTACCTCTAGTTCTGGGCAAGGCCCGGGCCAGAAGAACCCTGGGGCCCTACAGGGGGTATAACTCCAACGTGGACCCCCGTGTGGCCAACGTCTTCACTCTGGCCTTCCGCTTTGGCCACACCATGCTCCAGCCCTTCATGTTCCGCTTGGACAGCCAGTATAGGGCCTCAGCACCCAACTCACATGTCCCGCTGAACTCTGTCTTCTTTGCCAGCTGGAGGATTGTGCATGAAGGTGACCAGGTTTCCCTGAGGCTGATGGGAATGAATGGGGGTCACACCCTCCCCCCAGTTGGGTTACGCTTATTGCCAGCAGGACAGGCTGTTGCTCAGGTCACTGCTAATCATCTCTTCAGAACACCGACAACAAGGCAGGTTCCAAAATCCTCAGTCCCTGGCCTCCTCTCCCCTAAAAGGGGAGGACACTGCCAGACTGACAGCTCGTGAGTTTGCTTCTACTAGCTGTGAGGGGTCACCCCTGTCCCTGTCAGCCCCAGCACCCTTCATGTCTACCTGTCCTCTTTCCTGATGCTGTTGTAGAAGCCACTGGCTTGTCCAGCACCAGGGTGGCATCGTGGCATGAGGGGTTTCCCAGAAGCAAGCCTAACCTGCGCTGCTCACATTTCTGCCACCAGGTGGCATCGACCCCATCATGAGAGGCCTCATGGCCACCCCGGCCAAGCTGAACCGTCAGGATTCCATATTAGTGGATGAGCTCCGGGACAAACTCTTCCAGCAGGTGAGAAGGATTGGGCTGGACCTGGCGGCTCTCAACATGCAACGCAGTCGGGACCATGGCCTTCCAGGTGAGTGGGCCGCCCGCCTCTCGGCCTTCCAGGTGAGTGGGCCGCCTGCCTCTCCTCCCAGGTTTCTGTGCGTGCGTGTGTGTGCGTGGTTGGGAGGGGGGGGGTGTCAGCACACAGCAGGCTGAAAAGCCTGAGCCTCCTTTCACCTGGTGCTAGTGACAGCTGAGAGTGGGGGGTGCCCCCTGCTGGAGACTTCTACCTAGGTTACACACAGTGAGTTTCTGTTTCTCCAATAAGCCCAGCTGTACCAGAAATATTTTCCTTGCAGTGTCTTCTAATTCCTACCCAAATCCAAAACCAAATTTAGAATTTGGAAGACAGGGTTTGAACTCTACTTAATAGTAGAGTGACCCTGGAAAAGTCAAGTTCAACAGATACCCGTTGGCAAAATGGGGATTACAGTAGCTCACAGAGATGTTGGGAGGATCCTGTGGGATATTAATGCAGCAGTGCTTAGTAATGGTAAAACTTTAAAACTATGGTTTCACTTGTTCATCTGGGGAATGTTGTCTGTGAGCTGTAATTCAGTGGACGATGGTGGGCGGGTGTTTCTTCGGGTTATGGTAAAGCTATCCGTGGGGTCTCCAACACATCATGTGGCTTGGTCCTGCTGTAGATTCCAGATTATGGCAGGTCTCTGAAAGTTTCTTAGGTAAAACACCATTTTTAAAAAGCTTTATTGAACTGCAATCAATATATCATAAATTCACCCATATACAGTATACTATTTGATGACTTTATCTAGAGTTGTGCATTGATCAGAACATTTTTATCATGCACAAAAGAAGCCTCGTCCCTCACAACCACTAATCTAGCTTCTGTCTCTACATATTTGCTTACTTTGGAACTTTCACATAAATGGAATCATACAGTCCTTTTTTGAGTCACTCTATTTCTTGTTCATTCTACAAACCTGAAGAGGCTTTTAAGTTCTGAGTACTGTCTTATCGGTACCTAACTGTAGTTATAATAATGCCACTGTGGTTATGAGTTGTCAGCTTACAATAGCTTTTGGGGACCGGCTGCTCGATTTGCTGCACAGAAAGCACGATTGTCCTCTCTCATGGACACCTGGAAGGCAGTGGCTTACTCTTTGGAGGTTCAGGGCCTCATCTGCCAGCAGAGATCTTGTCCTAGTCAATGTTGCTTGACCACAAGGCTCCCCCCAGGAACACTATGGACGGAAGCTAATGGGAAGCCAACAGGGATAAGACTGAAACTGTTTCTGCCCCGCTCCCCTCCAGGGTACAATGCTTGGAGGCGCTTCTGCGGGCTTTCCCAGCCCCGGAATCTGGCACAGCTTAGTCGAGTCCTGAAAAACCGTAATTTGGCAAGGAAGTTCCTGAATCTGTATGGGACGCCTGACAACATTGACATCTGGATTGGGGCCATTGCAGAGCCTTTATTGCCAGGGGCCCGAGTGGGGCCTCTTCTGGCTTGTCTTTTTGAGAACCAGTTTAGAAGAGCCCGAAGTGGAGACAGGTGAGTGATACCGAGGCAGGGCAGAGAAGCACTGGTGTCAAGACTCAATAGTGGGGCAAGTGTTCTTTTTAGCTTCCTTTCCTCTAAGCTAACAGGATCTAAGACCAGGAAGCTCCTCCCTGGAGAACTTAGAGGCCACTGCCCTGGCAAGGCTGACAGGGCCTGAGCAGGAGATACATTTGACCTGAGTTAGACTGGTCAGTCTTGCTATTCCAGGATCGTGGCTTCCAGAAAATATAATCTAAAGTGGCTAAATCTGGGGTCTCCCTAGTAGCCTAGGGGTTAAGCCTCAGCACTATCAACTCTATGGCCTGAGCTTGAGCACCCCAGGCAGGTGGCCCACACAGCGCAGCAGACCTCTCCTGGCTCACCCGCTGTTCCCCTCAGCAGTACATTTCAGTAGATCTGCCTGTTCTGCTCCCCACTGTCTCTGATGAACCCTCTCACCAACCAACCCCCGTACCTGTGGCCTAGATCCCAGTTCTTCCACACAAAAAATAAATAAAATTTAAAAAAGGATAAATCTGGTTTCCATGTAGTAAGCATATGGCTTGACACCTGCCTTCTTATTGGGAATTGGGTGTTTACCTGGGTTCAAATCCAGCCCACACCTCTTACTATGTAATTAATACTGGTCAGTTTACTTGATCCCTGGTTTCTTTATTCACAAAATGGGGACAGTACCTATTTTAGGAATTTTGTGAGACTTGAATGAAATCACACACCAAGTACCTGATACTGCAGGTGCTCCCCATGTTCCACCCCCCGACTTTCACCCACATCTCAATTATCTTGGTAGGTTCTGGTGGCAGAAGCGAGGTGTTTTCACCAAGCAACAGCGCAAGGCCCTGAGCCGGATTTCCTTGTCTCGAATTATATGTGACAATACTGGTATCACCACTGTTTCGAGGGACATCTTCAGGGCCAACATCTACCCCCGGGGTTTTGTGAGCTGCAGCCGCATCCCCAGGCTGAGCCTGTCTGCCTGGCGAGGCCGGTGAGGCTTTTGCAGGTAAGGGGAAGCCCTCCTCCAGCAGCCCCAGGCTGACCAAGCCCTCCTAGTCTCCCCTGGGTGAGATAACTGCGTCTTTGAGTTCCCTAAGCAGAGAAAACAGAACTCGTCACTCAGGGCTGACACCATTCCTTAGGACTTTCCAGCAGGCTGGCTTCTGGACTGATATCTAATCTTAGGGCCTAGGTCTCTGGGAGGTGGTTAGGAAGTAGCCAGTTAGCCTCAGCTTCATCATCAGCACCCTAAAAGTTCTATTTCTGGATGCCCAGTGAGTATCTTTACTTCTGCTGCTTCCACAGGAATCCATCCCACGCTTCCGCCCTTGGAAACAGGGGGACCTGGGAAGGCGAACAAGTCTCCCTTTTCCCCTGGTAGCTGCTGTATCCTGCTCATGTTTTTGCTGGCTGGTTCGTTGGCTGGGAGTAACCCCACAGCAGTGAATCCTCCTGCCTTGGAAGACTCTTAGGTATCAGGTCACGCTTCAGCTCCAGGTGCCAGGATTTGTAAGCCAAGCAAGATCTTGAAGGCCAGGCGAGAGGAGTCATCTGAGGGCTTTCCAGCCACTTTCTTCTCTTTCCCAGCCTGTCCCCAATCCCTGCGTGACACAGTCCTAATCTCTGACTAACCCTAATCACCCTCTGGAGCCTGCAGGTTGGACAGTGTGCTCAGTTTCTACCAATAAAGTGACTGCTGAGTGCAGGGGCTGGCTTCTGTGTTGGTGATGACGGTGTGACCTTGGTCCTATGGCATGCTCCAGAAGTTAGGGCTAAGGCACAGTGGGCACTAGCCTCTAACCTCCCCTGCACTGTTGTGATGCCCACTTACAGTTGGGGACTGAGTTAAGGGAACCAGAAGAAACACCCTGGATTGGGAAATGGCAGAGGAGGGAAAGGGCAGCGGCATCTGGAGACCTGACATTCACAACAGCCTGGCAGCCCGCAACGTGAGCAGAAAAACAGCCAACAGAACATCAGTCGGTATAAAAGCATTTATGCACACACATGAAAAAAAAAAAATTAAAACCTTTCAGCTAGCAAAGGGCTGGGCATTGCCTTCGGTCTTTATTTACTCCAGAAATAGTTATTTACTCCACTGAAAAGAGCCGTGAGCAATAGGCGAGATTATACTGGAAAGAGGAGGCTGAGACTCTCAGGCCAGGAGTTTAAACCGTCTCTCAGCTTGCTTCTTCCTGAGCCTTCACTTGCAATGCAAGCTGTGGGCAGCAGGTACCTGCAACCCTGCTTCCGTCATTGAGACAGAGCGATACTCCAGAACAGGCTGTGTTGAGGACACTCGAACGACGAGGTTCCCCCAAACTGGCCTCAAACCCCAAATCGGCCTTGTGATGCCCACTTGCAGTAGCTGAAATGTGAAGAGGGAACCAGAGGGGGCCACAGGCGCTGGGGTACTTCACGTGGCAGGAAGACCCTGCTGAAGACCAGGCAGAGGGGGTGGTCTGAGATTTTCTGCGCTCTTCCGGGTCTCGGCAGGTTATTGTGGTCTCCGGTGAGAAGGAGGCGGGAGAACACTGACCTGAGGTATCACTGTCTTGCCCTCTTGCAGGAGGGCCAGGGCTGCAGCGAGCTAGGAGACCGCGGTTTCTGAGGGGCTCACTAAGTCCTGGGGAAGGCTTTCCCGGGCCTCCTGCATGCGGCGCCGGGCTCGGCGGAAGGCCTCTGTGAGGGAAGAAAATAAAGCAGTGAGCGGCCTGATGTGGGAGGAGTGTAGCCATGCCGACTGGGTGGGGGTGGGGCACCTACCCAGCACGTTGTGGATGGAACTCTGTTGGCTGAATCCTTCCAGACGGTCCAACACACTCCGCATCCTTTTCCGGAGGGAACTCGACTCCATGAAGGCCCTGCAGGGAGCCCAACACAAGGGGGCTGCTGTTCAGCCCCCAGGGACAAAAAGCCCAAGGCAGAGGGCAGGTCACTCACCTGGACTGCTGCAGACAGTGCAAGCGGAAGGTGACACTGCCCGTGGTCTCTGTGCGGAGCCCAAAGCGGCTCAGGCGCTCCCCCTGTAGCACACAGTGAGACAGCACATGCTTTCTGTGGCCTCCAGCCCCCCAACCCCATACTGGCCTTACTCCTACTCCCATCCCATTCTTGGGGAGCCTCATTCCAGCCCCCAAACACCACCACCTCAAGGCTAACATTGTGCTTCTGACTGTAAGTCAGGGAACATCCCAACCTCATCAAAGTATGAGCAGTCTTGTGAGCTTCCTGCAAATCCCTCCACTCTGATGATGGGGCCTCAGTGATGGGCTGGGAGGCAGGGCCAGTGACCGACGAGGCCTAGGGGAGTCTCTAAAGGAACTATTTTCCAGAGTTCTCCCTGTATAGCAATGTGGATATTTGTGTCTGGTTCCAAACATGGTCGTGATTTCTAACTAGTGTCACAATCTAAGTAACATGAAGCAATGAAGGGGTCTTAGCCCAGGCTCCATCTTCTGTGGAAGAACTAGAAACATAAGCGCTGACATGAGATCTGTCAGAGATGACAGTCACCTTGAAGGTCCCAGGAATCCGCACATAGGAGAGGTCCTCCAGTTCCAGAGAGCCACCAATGAAAAACCTCCGCAGCTCAGCCACCGTGCCCAGCTCCATGGGTCTCCAAGTGGCGACTGTCAGAGTGTGTGAGCCTGTGCAGGGGGAGAAGGGGGACTCTCATGACTCCCAGCGGTGACAATGACAACCTGGCCTCGTGGGGCTGTAGGGTGCCTGTTTGGAAATCAGATGATTCACATCTTAGCTCCACCCGCTCTTACCTATCTACCCAGGACAAGTCTCCTAACCTCTCTGAGCCTCGTTCTCCTCATCTGGGAAGTAACACACCTCAGGGAGTGGTTAGAATTAAATGGGAAGCACTTAGCACCAAGCCTGGCACCGACCCATTCAATTCCTACGTGCTGAGAGCCCATTTGCCACACAGCCTCTCCCTCAAAGCTGCAAGTCAGATGAGAGGAGCACGAAGCAGGCCCCAGAGAGGCTCAGGCCGCCAGCTTCACAGGGTGAGCTGCAGTCTCATCCAGCTGTCTCTAACGGCAGGAAAACACCTCCTCAAAAGGAGCAAGGAGTCTGCAAGGTTAATACTTCTAGTCCTTGATTATGCCCACTTCTCACTGGGGGCAGTCTCGTCTTTTGGAAGTGTAGGCCTTGTTCCCAGGAGCCGGGGCATGTGGGCCACACGACGCACAAGAGCAAGAGGTCACCTGGGGTGGCGGGCAGCACCACAGCCCCGTAGCCTTCCACGCGGTACCTCTGCCAGAAGTCCAGGGACAGGACCTCGCAGTAGAGCACAGGCCACTCTGGGAGGGCATCTGGGAGCAAGTGAGAGAAGCGACCAGGTCACAGGAGGCCTTCGCCGAGAGAGGGCATCGCCTGCAGAGACCTAACGCCTGGGAGAGCTGCTGAGCTACTCACCAGCAGATTCGTCCTCATGGAGGAAGGAGACCTCAAATGTGAATGGGTAGGAGAAGTAAGCCACCTTGTCCTAAAAAAAGAGGAGTGTCACTTTATACTTAGTGTCATGCTTAGGCAAGACCTCACTTGGAATTTGGAATCTGTTCTTCCTGTGACGATGACTGGGTTTTTCTCCAGGTAGATGTATGAAGCCTAGAGGCAAAGGCAAGCCATGGCCATTCTCAAAAAGGCCAGGAGAGGCTGGGGCCAGGCCTCCCTGCAGAGCCCACACAGAAGAGGCCTGCCCAGCGCTGGCTTCCTCCCCAGGACATGGCTATTGGCCTGACATATCTTCAGTTGCCACCCCAGGAACACAGTCCTGTTCCCCTCCACGAGCCCTCCCTCATTGTGCATACATACCATTCCTACGGACTTGGTGGCACAGGTCTGTGTTATTCCTGAGAGCTGCTGGAAGGCTGGGCTAGACCAGTCTGAAAGCCAAAGATCACATAGAAAGAGTAAGTTTAGCTGGAAGAGGGCAAGTAGTTGAGAAAAAGATGGTGTTCCTTTATCTATTCAGTCACTCATTCACCCCATCAATCATTCACTTAACATTCACTGAGTGTCTCCATGGACTGTGACTAGTCATTGGGATATTTTAACATTTAGAAAAGATCCCTGTCTCTCATGAGCTAACATTCTAGTGGGAGGAAAAACAGCAACAAACAAATCCATGAGGCAGTGATACGTGCTATTAAAAAAGCGAAGGCTGACGGGACCGAGGGACGTGGAGGTTCATACAGGGTGGGAGGGAAGACGTCTCAGAGGTGATACTCAGGCTGAGAGCTAAATTCAAGAAAAACTGCTCATGCAAAGACACATCAGAAAGGGCTTCAGAACTTTCATTTTCAAGAGAAAAAAGGACGCCGTGTGTTGCTGCTTCTGCTGCTGTATGGAATTCGGCAGGGTCAGCTGAGTCTGGTATTAGAGTTGGTGTTTTGATCACAGCAGGAGGGGCAGCTGTTAGTTTTAAGCTTAATACATATATTTTCAAAGGCTCAATTTGGTGGTGTATGTGGCAAATGAACCATAAGAGGGAGCAAGAGGATAAGTTAGAAACTTAATAGTGCTCCGGGCCAGGCAAAAGATGGTAGCTACATCTAGGGAGAACAGAGGATTCGGGGTATCTCTGAAGACAGAGATGGTAAGAATAGCTGATGGCACAATGGCAGCAGAGAGCTAGGGGAAGTGAGGAGCCAAAAATGTCTCTTAGGTTTTCATCAGCAAATAAGTGGATGCCACTGCCTTTCTGCTAAGCTGGGGAAGACCATGTGGGCAGGTCTTTCATTTCTGCTCTTGTTAAGCAGAAATGACAAAGAGGTAACTGGATAGAAGTCTGGAGTTTAGAGAGAGGTGAAGGCTAGCAAGAGAATCTGGGAATCTGAGATTTAGAAACAGTATTCAAGTCACAGGATGGATAAGACCACCTAGGAAGACTGTTAAGAAAGAGGAACAGAAGGCCTAGGTCCAGCCGTGGGTAGTCTAAGTTCAAGATCAACAGGAGATGAGGAATTGGCCAAGGAGGCTGATGAGCCACAATACAGTGGAAAGTTGAACATGGAGCCAGAAGTTAAGAGAAGAGCTCCCATGAGGAAAAGTGAGTTTTGCCAGATGCTTCTGAAATGCCAAGTAAGGTGACAGCAGGAAAGTCACCACAGGATGACAACCTGGCAGTGATCTATGACACTGAAAAGAACAGTAACAGTTTTGGTTGGAGGAGCAGGAAAGGAAGCCTAGCCAACTGCCTCCAGAAAATTACCAGAAGGGGTATAAAAAGAGAGACTTATGGGACCCTCCCTGGTGGTGCAGCGGGTTAAAGCACAGCTCTAAAGGCTAGAGCCACTTCAGCATGAGTTTGATCCCCACCTCGGAGGTGACCCACATGGTGAGGCAGACCTCTCCTGACCTGCCCGCTACTCCCCTCAGCAGTGCACTTCGTTGATCTGCCTGTTCTGTTCCCCACGCTGTCTCTGGTGAATCCTCTCCTCTCACCACCACCATCCCCCCCGCATACCTGTACCCCAGTTCTAAATAAATAAATCTTTAAAAAAATAAAAGAGAGAGATTTATGAGTATTACTTACTAGTAGCTGGCAATTCCACAAAGAAGTGGACATAGAGATTATCATACTCATAGCCTTGAGCTGAAACTAAGAGAGAGAACAAGACACTTATTCTCCTGTCACCCTCAGTCCACCTCCCCGCCACCCTCCCATGCCCCCCACTCTACCCCCAGTCCTGAAGGGCCTATACACTTCCGGAAGCAAGTCCCTGGAGAGGCAGGAATTCTGTGTTTCCAGGAAAGACTCACGGCTGAGATTCCCAAGTACTACAGACTACCCAAGGATTCCTCTGGGGAGGGGCAGGCCGCTTCACAGCTCATCTGGACACTGCCCAAGCAACGCAAGATCTCTGGCCAGGCACTTACCTACTTCTCCGTTTACAAAGAGTCGGAGGGCACCTGGGACGGCCTAAGGTAGAGAAGTGGGATAAGACTAGGAGGCCTGGAGGGAACAAGCACTTCCGCAACCCACACGCAAACCCCCAGAAGCTCTGACACTGGAAGTCAGACCCACGTGCCTCATCCTGGTACTTCCTCCCCACCCCACCATGTTCCCAGGTCTGTTTCCTTTGTTTCTAAAGGTTGCAATATAGAAGAAAAGTAATTTACACGCATGGAGGGCAATGCCATATGGGAAATTTATAAGAATAGCCAAAGGGCACAACAGCTGCCCTCTGGGGCACAGTGGGGAGCCAGAGACTCCGTGCCCTTAGATGGCCAAAGTCAGGTCAACAGGAAATTTCCTTTTTAACTATTTGTGTAGTTATCTTCTCTGACACTTTAACACTGAACACCTGTTGCTAATATTCATAAAAATAATAGGAGTTAATTTTTTGAGAGGGAAACCACTGGCTAATTCTAGTTTTGTTTCCAAACCTAGATGGAAAGTGTAGAATGAGTCACAAAGAGCAAGAACGTGGAACTGGCCTAAACTATCTTGCTTTGGTTTTGTTTTTTTTAACTTTAGAGACTTAAGAAGTGAAAATCCCTGCCATCTCTCACTGTATCGCCAAGGCCCATGTCCCATGTCCCACCCACTCCCCAGAGAAAGCCCCACAGCATGCATGCACCCAGACCTTCTGTGTGCACAAATAGTGCTGTTCTGTTGCGCACTGTTTTATTTTAACAGGAACGATACAGGCTATTACTTTACTCCTGAGAGTAAGTCTCAGGGACCTTCAAAGAGAGATGCTGGTACAGCCCCAGCCAGTACACTCTGGCTACCCCGGTGTGCAGAGGGGAGCCCAGCTACTCACCATCTCAAAGTCAGTGCCCACGAGGCTGCTGAGGTACTCCTTGTGCCGACTATAAAGCTGAGGAGACAGAACAAGCAAAACTCAATGAGCGGCCCAAGCCAGGCCAGAGTTCAGTGTTGCATGAGAGGGAGAAGAGCTGCAATAATGATGGGAAATGCTGCAAGGAGCTGCTGGGAGCAGAGGGCTGGGAAATACGGCATCTGGGTGATTTAAAGTGACACTCAGAGGCATTGGGGTCTGCTGGTTTGGGAACAAATCTTGACTCTCATTTACAAACCAGGTGACCCTGGGCAGACTGTTTAGCTTCTGTTCCAGTTTGCTCAGTTATAAAATGGTAACAGTAAAAATATTCACCTCAAAGGACTGCTGGACAGCCTAACTGAAATAAAGTAAGTGACAGATCCAGCAGAGAGCACAGAAAATACTCAGAATCGGGCCCTCTCTGGTGGCGCAATGGGTAGGGACGCAGCACTGCAAGCAAGCGGCAGCTGCTTCTGTGCATGTTAGATCCCGCCCCGGAGGTGACCCACATGGCCCAACAGACCTCTCTGACCCGCCCGCTGCTCCCCTCAGCAGTGTACTTCGTCAGTCGGCCTGTTCTGCTCCCCACTCTGTCTCTGGTGAACCCTCTTGCTGCCCCTGCACCCCTGTTCTGTATGCACAAATAAATTAATCTTAAAAAAAAAAAAAAAACACTTAGAATACTGTTGCTGTTATGCTATAACAGGCCCGAGAACTTGGTATGTCAGCAGTGCTTCCTGCGTCAGGAGAGACCCGTGACTGCTGACGTCAACCTCAGGAGGCCTCACGCCCACGGGACTCCTCCCGTTGGGACTGGAGCGAGCTGGCTCTTACATCCTTGAAAACACGCTGCTCCCGCTCCTCCTCCTCTGGCTGCGCGAGGGAGGACACGTTGTTGATGGTATACTTCCACAGTTCCTGTTTTTCCCCCTCGGTCTCAATTCTGCAAGATCCAAGCCACAAAAGAGCCAATGCTGATAACAAGAGATGGGACTCTCCAGACATGGCCCAGGGATGAGCCACACTGGCCACACCCCTCACTCCCCATACACAACAACAGAAAGGCCAGAGAGAGCGAAACAACCATCCAGTTGAAAGGCACCAGACTATTGACTCACCGAGTACAGGTTCTGGGCCTATTTCTGCCTCAAAGTCACCGTGCAACCCTAAAGCACAACATCCTGGGCATCTCGTTGCCTCAGCCGAAAGATGAATAGGTCGGCTTAGGCCACTTTTAATTTACAATTCTGTTATTCTAAGAGCTAGCGATGGGGGACAGTCAGCCCAGAGAGTCCTGACTGAGCTCATGTCCTGTTCTGGTGAGTCCTGTAGTTGGCACAGGGAATTCTTTCCAGTGAATTCCATACCTGAGTTATCCTTTCAAAGGCATAGGTGCATATTTTCTGAGAACAGGATCCTCAATATCTTAGGCATCTATGACCCAGAATTTGAAAGAACAGATGTAGGGCTTCCTGAGAATCCACAACTAGGGGCAGGAAGTAAAGCGGAGGGAGAAACACCAGTCTCTGCTACTGTCTCCCTGCTCACCTGTAGGGTCCCTTGAGGCCAGTGAAGTCAGGTTTTACTGTGATCACCCCATTGCTGTCCACCTTCACCGTACAGAGGACATGTTCATACGTCTTATAACCAAGCCTAGAAACCAAGAAACCAGCACCAAGATTCAGGAGTGCCAGTCCTGTCTCCAGGGAAAGAGGAAGAGGTAGCCAGCTTACGTTGGGGAAGAGGACAGAGGCTGGAGTGAAATCATCAGGGTTCTTTTAAGGACAACTATGAAAATAAAAAGAATAGTCTGGGAGGACTGTAATAGGTAGGTGCTGGTTAACAAGAGAAGAGGATGAGGACCTGCAGGCAGTGGGAAACTTTGCTCACTTTTCGTGGGGCCCGAGGTCTGCCATGATGTACATTGTCTGAAGAGGGGTGTTGATGACATGGTTGTTCCTCACGAACTCTTCTGAGGGTTCCCAGGTGACAATTCGTGACTTGAAGATACTACCCTCCCTGGGAGACACCACAAGAAGAGTCAGTTCCCTGGCACCCCCTGAAGAGTCTGAAGGAAGAACACGGGGAGCACCCAGGTAGAGACCCCCTGCAGAGTGGAAGCTCCAGTTGTGGACACACCCCCACTCCCATCCAACCTGACTCACATCCCTCGCCTGTCCTGGCGTCTCCGCCTGACATTCGCCATTCGCTCCACCAAGAATGACGGCACCTCGTCAGCTGCAGTGGTCATTTTCTGGCAGTGCTGGGAAGAGAGGCCAGTTTTCTTGTAACCCACCTGGCCAGCGCCACATGGCACGAGCACCGAGGGAACTCTTCCTTTGAAACCTCATCAGACCTGAAGCTAAAAGTGCAGCTGCTCACAATACACATGCTAACAGGGGCACAGTGGCACAAACAACCCAAAGAAGATTCCTAGCACGCCTTAGTTTGCCCTGAACTAAACTCCTATTAAAGTGAGCTGCAAGCTTTGAGCACTTATCAACAAAAAGCTGGATGAGTTTGGCTAGTGGATAGCAACACTGACTAGTTAGCTAGGAGATGCCAAATGGGATACAAATACTCTGTGGAAAGTCCTCAGAAGGGTAACTGAGCGCAAACAGCAACTTTATTTATTTTTCTAGAACAGACAACCCAAATTTTATATGTCAATAACCCACCGCTTTCCTAATATAAACAGCAAGCTTTTTAAAAACATTTGTCACCTGCTCCTTACAGAGAAGCACCAGGTAACCAACAAAAACCAAACTCCCTCAAGGACTGGGCAGTATAATTTATTCTGCTGCGAGTGAAGAAAATATAAAACAAGTCCGTAAGAGTATTCGGCCCAGGCAGCTGAGGACATAGCCAATCCCCTTAGCTGCATGGGTCTGAATTCCTCGTCCAGCCCGCACTCAGTTTTGGCTGACTGCCCTGAGGACTTTTCTCTAGATGGTACTAGACTCCACCCACCTGTCTTGTCTCATGCTGCTTAGGGACATCCAGCCCAGGGGCCACTTCTCCCTAGCTGGGAGGCTGCAGGCCCAGCACACTACACTCCAGCTCCCCCCACCCCCAGAAACCACGCTATGACAGACATGCCCATTCCACTCGGGCTTGGCTGCCAATAGTACAGTGCAGTTTCTATACAGGAATCTGACTTAACACCTGGAACCAACCAGAAAACACAGAGAGGCAGAGGAGAGGGAAGTTCTGGGGTCTCAGGAAGAATAATACCTCCTCCAAATTGGTGTATCTGTCAGAGTCGGTGTAGGTAAAGATCCGGCGGTTCTTCCTGCCATGTGACTCCTCCAGCTTCAGGATCTCTTGGCGGTACTGATGATCCAGAGGACTCTGACATGCTGCTTCATTTTGGTACAAATCTACTTCAAACTGAGGCCACAAGGAAACAGGTGTACTGAGACTGTGCCAAGCATTTTTGTTCTTATACTTGTTGATTACATCAGCTCTGTATAGCTGATACCATCTGACATGTTTTTTATGGTCAACTCTTAATTCTCTAAACTGATGGAAAGGAAGGGGAGCCAAAGAATGTTAGGTCTAGAAGGAACCAGAGTTGTGGTCTAATCCAACCTTGCTGTTTCAGATGGCATGTGCCCAGGAGGTGAAAAATGCCCCACCCGGGATCATGAAACTGGGTAGTGGTAGGCATAATGTTATACTTTCTCTGTAACACTACAAGGCAAGGAAAAGCTGCTGTATCTTTATGGAATCAGTTTGGCAATATGGAACAAGAATATTTCCCTACCATAGTCAGGTGGTGTTAGGCTGGGCAGAAAAGGGACAACGGCTTACCTGGCTAAAGAGCTTCTCCTGCCACCCAATCACCACCTCCTCCTCTTCATCTTCACCTGGGTGGTGTCCACCTCCAGAGACCACAGAGTGAGTCAGACGTTTAAGACAAATTAGCACCACTTTTTGTTTTATGGTTAGTTATAACCAAAGTTCCTGCTCTTATATTTGCCATAGAACCAAATGCGTG